GCCGTCGTCACTGTAGTAGTAGTAGTAGTAGTAGTAGCAGTAGCAGTAGTAGCAGTAGTAGGAGTAGTTCTCGTAGTAGTAGTATTAGTAGTAGCCGTCGTCGTCGTAGTAGCAGCAGTAGTAGTAATAGCATGAGTAGTAGTAGTAGTAGTAGTAGCAGTAGAAGTAGTACGAGTAGAAATAATAAAAATAGTAGCCGTCGTAGTAGTAGTAGTAGTAGTAGTAGTAGTAGCAGTAGCAGTAGTAGTAGTAGTAGCAGCAGCAGTAGTAGTAGTAGTAGTGGTCTCTGTAAGCACACCTCAAATCAGAATGATAAATCATAGTCAGTCGAAGAATCATACAAGACGGGCCACGATGTGGAATGGCGGGCCCCTGTGGGAGCTTGTTTCGGGTCTTAATGCTGCACAGGTATCATGTACGTTCTCAGGCCTCCTGGGCCGGCCCCCGGGGCGCAAGGGAGCCCTGAATTGCAGGGATCCGACTGCAGTCCCACTGGGTTGAACGTGCGGCTGTCTCTCGGCGGCGCGCCTGGGGGGAAGTGAGAAGGAGGAGGCCTTCTCAGCAGGTGGTGAGGTTTCTCAGAACCCCTCCAGCCTGAAAAATTTTGTGTGGGGGGACGGTCGAGAAAACCTTTCTGGAAGCCCGAGGCATCCCGAGCCTTCTGAGAAGGCCCGCCCCCTTTCGCTTCCCCCCCAAGCTCGCCGCCGAGTCTCGCCATGGCTGCAACGTTGGCGCGCGAACTATGCCCTGCCCAACTCAGGACACGCTTTTCAGTGAAATGTGGCGGCGTGCTGGTTTGCTGCGGAGGAGCTCGGAAAGGCGCGCGAGGAGATGTCAGCGCTTGAGTTCAACACGAGAGCAAGCATTATTGGAAGAGCCAAGACTGTGACACGGAAGTGCCAGAAGTTCCGCTAGAAACGAATCTCAAATGTCCAATGTACGCTCGAATTGTCTTCGCTGCGACATTGCGGATTCCGGTGCGCGGGGAAAGCGTGGTAGTTTTGGACGCGGTTTGCCATTGCAGGTTGTCCAGACATGCTTAGGTTACGTGAATATGATCTGTGCTCCTTGAGCGAGATATTCTTTTAGGTTGCATGTGGGCACGGCTCTAAAGTGAAGATGACGAGCAGTCATAAGAGGCCTCGAAGATGATACAACGTTTCAGCGTATCGGAGACATTCGTTGTATCACCGCAGCGCGTTGGCTCAATTGTTAGCGTTTGCGCTAGCAAAGAAGATCGTTTGGGCCCAATGGCAGTTTGGATACGATTGTGTTGCACTTACTTCTCGGTGTGTGGCGCTTCGAGTTTGTGGGCGGGCCCACATGCGGGCCGGAAGCGATTTGGAAGCGGTCTGAAAGTCGAGCTCGTCTTGGACGCCATCTGGAATGCGCATTGGGGCTCGGAAAGGGGCATGGATGCAGCCGGGCGGCGGAATGGCGGACGTCCTTGGGGAAGGATACAATCAGGCAGTGACGAAGCGTCCTGGCTCGCCTATAGCCCCACCAAACAATGTTCTAGGAACCTCCTGTGGTTTCCACGAAATGTTCTTAGAACATTTCTGGTGGATATCGTCTTGTTTGAACACATCGGGTTAATGTTCTAAGAACCTTGTGTTTGTTCTAAGAGCATGTTTTGGGTTCTAAGAACATTTCGTGGTAGGACTATAGGAATGCCGGGACGGCCGGCCCCTGCTCAATACAAAGGGGGAGGGGGAGGCTAAAGCCTTGCAAGGAGCTCTCAGATGTAAGTCCCACTCGCCCCGCAGCCTGCTGGGCGGGCGGATCTCCCAGAGGCTTGCGCCGTTCCGCCGACCCCCAGAAGAGAGACAACGGCCACCGGTCGGGACGCGTGGGGACCCTCCTGGATCCTTTTTTGGGGGGCCTCTTGGGGGCCTCGTCGGGCCTCTTGGGAGTTTCGTGGGCACCTGCTGGCGGCGGGAGGCTCGGAATGGCAACTCGAGTTGCCTCTCTTGGGCCCCTCTTGGGGCCCTGCTGGGGCTCTCTTGTGCCATCTTGGGCGCCTCTTTGGCCGCCTTGGGACGCACTTCGGCGGTCTGGAGGCCCTCTTGGGAGCTTCTTGGGCCGTTTTGAAGCGATCATGGGGCCTCTTGAGCCAACTTGAACACTGTTGAAACCAAACATGCGAATATAGTACAATTCTAGGTGTGGACAAGGGACTTGGACGATTATTGCTTCTTGGGGCCCTGTCGGGGATCGCCTTGGAGCCCTCGCCCCTCGCCCGCCCCACCAACGGCAGAGCGTCCCGTTTTCCATAACGGCCCCCCTCTCACGCCAGACGCTAGAGCGGGGGGGGGGCGCTGGCAGCGCCCAGAGGGCTCTCTTGCCGTCAGTGCCTCAGTGCTTCAGGTGCAGGGAGGCCCCTCAGACGCGCCGTGCGCCGCCGCCCGGCGCTGACAGGGATCGGCACAAAAGTCCAGTCACTCATGGGCGGCCTCCTCCTCCTCCTCCTCCTCCTCCTCCACTTCCGCTCGGCCCTGTTTTTGCACATATGGACCCTCGTGCATCGACTCCGTGGCACGCAGGTCGATACCAGCAAAGCGAGCGAGCCTCCAAGGCGAGCTCGTGGAGAGAGGAGAGAGTCCCGTGGCTCCAATGAGGCTCCCCCTCTCGGGGGCGGCCAAGAGGGGGGTGAAGACCAGGGGGGGGGGATATCATGGCGTGGGCCATGACATCTCCCCAGATGTCATGGCGCCTCCTCTTATTTCATTACGTCCCTGGCCTCCCCCCCGCGCACATGCCGCGGGCCACGACTTGCACACACCCCTCTCGGACGCCCCCCCCCTGGGCCGCCCCCGACCCCCCCCCCCAATGCCTCCGCCTGGCCCCCCTCGGGCGCGCTCGCTCCGTGCGGTCCTCCGGTCGGCTCCTCGGTCGTCGGTGCCCCTCCCCCCCCCCCCCGCCCGCGCGGAGTGCGGCCCCCGGACGCAGCCAAAAGCCTCGACCTCAGACGAATTGTTGAATTTCGAGAGCATAGTTTTCATCCGAGGCCTCTTCGTCAGAGCGTCCGTCGAGATCTGTCGAGCCAACCGGCCCGCTGGCGCTGGGGACTCCAGAGCTCAGCCGCTTCGCTGATGGCCATCCTCCCCCCATACGGTGGGGGCGTCCCCGGAGGAACGCGCCCAGGATCGGGGGAGGGAAAAGAGGTACCCATAGTGCTGCCCAATAATGATAAGAAGAAGAAGAATACAAAAAATACTGCTAGCCTTCCCTCGTTTTTCCCTTTGGGGGCCTCCTGGGAGGCCCTCGTCGCCACCGCTGGATTCGCCTCGAAACTCGAGTCAGCACGCACCCCGGGAGAGGTTTGGGGAGAATTGGTGCCCGTACCTTTTCGCTTCCCCACAGGAGGCTTCAGGCCCCGGAGGCATTCCTTATCTGATGTGGGCGGCGGTGAGATCCATGGCCAGCCAAGCCTCAGTTGCTGTTCGGCCAGCTTTCAGACCATGGGCTCCTGATCCAAAGGTTCCGTACCCACTGCCCTGCCCCTGGCCGGAGCCCAGGTCCCGGCGGAGTACGTCGCCCTCAAGAAGGCGCGTCCATGCCGCCATCGGGTGGGGCCCCGACGGGGCGCGCCCTTCGCCCGGTGGCCCGTGGAGGCTCGGAGGTATCGCCCCTCGCGCGTCGTGGCACGGGCTGGGGAGCTGCCGCTCTCCGGGATGTGTGGGCGCGGTGGGCGCGAGGGCGCGAAGAGGATCCCGCGTCGCATCGCGATGGTGCATGCGAGTTTGATTCGTCGGTCGACCCCTGCAGATTCAGGGATGCCCTCGTGTCCTGCAGTTCGCGCCCCATGCCCTCGGCAGTCCCAGGGCAACGCGGCCCTCGGAAGGGTCTCGTGGCCTCTCGCGCGTCCTCGCCAATCGAACTCGACTGTATGGGCTGTGGATCTCTTGTTCTCAGGGAGGGGGGGGGGGCGCGCGCGCGCGCGAACATCACCCTGGGTCGCGAATCACGGGGTGCAATGCGACGCGCGAAGGTAGGAGGCCTCGTCAGGCCACGACCCCTCTCCCCAACACACAACTGGCACCCTTAGGGCAGAAGGCCCTGAACAGCGGCACATCGATGCGATGGGGGCCACGAGGGGGGGATCGGGATGGGGATAGGGAAAGGGGTGAGGATAGGGATACAGGACCAGGGATACAGGAAGGCAAGGATACACGGGGATACTTTGGAAGCGAGACGGGGACGAGGGCAAGGATCGGGATCGGATTCCAGGGTAGGGATGCAGGTTGAAAAGGGACAGGGATACAGGGCCATGGATCGGGATTGTGTGACGTGGGGCCTGTTTTTCTACCGGGGGAATATGCAAAGATAGTCCAAAACTAGTCTGGGGACTGTTGTTTGAGTATGTTTGGGCATCTTTTGATTACTTGTTGCGTATTTCTTTTATTGGAGAGGCCTGACGGCCGGTGCCGCCGACCCTGATCGAAAGGGCTAGGAGTGGGGGGAGGAAGCGGAGGAGGAGGAGGAGGAGGAGGAGGAGTTTGATTACTTGTTGCGTCTTTTCATTATTTGTTCGTCCAATATCCCCCCGCAGGGAGGCCAGCGGGAGGCCGCGAGCGACGACGGGAGGGGCGGCGGGAGGCACGGGGCGGCCGCGGGGAGCAGAGGGGAGGCCCGCGGGAGGCCAAGGGGGGGGAGGAGGCCGCGGGAGAAGGTCAGCGGGAGGCCACGCCGCCCCGCTGACTCGAGGTCTGGCGGCCCAACCATCAGGTTTCAACAAATACGTACATCTATATATATATATATATATGTATATACAGAGAAAGAAAGAGAGAAAAAAAAAGAGAGAGGGAGAAAACGTATGTATATATACACAGAGAGAGAACAGTTGCACACTAGCTGCTGAAGGAGACATGTCGTACAGCACACGTGGTGCAGATCAGTGGGGCAGGCCGCGGGTCGCAGCCCACGCTGTGCGAGCCACGTGGTGCAGTCCGTGTGGCGCAGGCTGCACGGTGCAGTCTGTGCAAAAAAGGGTGGTGCGGCTCATGCGGTGCAGCTTATGTTTGCAGATGTTGAAGCCGTCGATTCAAACGATCGGGCAAACATCCCGCCCACTCACTCCCGCCTACTCGCAGCTTGTTGGCAACACTGAACTGGCGCACTGACGCGAGGACCATCCCTGTGCAGCTCTGTGACTTGGGTGGGCGAGTGCGACGGTGACGGCGACTTCGGCGACGCCGAAGATGATGATGATAATGATGGTGGCATAGATGATGAAGGCGACGAACACAGTGATGTCGACGACGATGGCGACGGTGATGGTGACGACGACAACGATGGTGATGGCGATGCAGAGAATAGTGCTGATGATGGCGCTGACACTGGTGGCGATGCCGATGCTGAGGATGCCGATGATTATGATGGTGATGGTGATGGTGATGATGACGATGGTGATGCTCATCGTGATGGTGATGGTGACGATGACGATGATGATGATGATAATGATGATGATGATGATGACGATGCTGATGTTGATGATGTTGATGATGATGAAGATGATGATGATGACGATGATGAGGGTGATGGTAATGGTGATTGTGATGGTGATGATGACGACGCCGACGATGACGATGACGAAAACGATGATGATGATGATGATGATGATGATGATGATGATGATGATAATGATGATGATGATGATGACGATGATGATGATGGTGATGATGTTGTTGATGATGATGATGGTCATGATGATGACGATGATGAGGGTGATGATGAGGGTGATGGTGATCATGGTTATGCTGGTGATGGTGATGACGATGACGGTGACGATGACGATGACGATGACCATGATGATGATGATTATGATGACGATGATTTTGATGATGATGATGATGATGGTGATGATGTTAATGCTGCTGAAGATGATGACGATGATGCCAAACCGCGGGCGAGTACGCCATGCAAACGCAGCCACTGGGGCCTTCGGTGGAGCTCCCAATGGGATCACGCAACGCGTGAGGGGTGTGCCGATCTGGGGGCGGGGGCGCCATGCGAACGCAGCCATTGGGACCATCGGAGGGGCCTTCTATGGGGTCACGAACATGTGAGGGGTGTGCCAAACCGCGGGCGAGTACGCCATGCGAGCGCAGCCACTGGGTCCTCCGGTGGAGCTCCCTGTGGGGACACGAAACTTGTAAGGGGTGTGCCGATGGGCGAGTGCGCCATGCGAACGCAGCCATCATTGGGACCATCGGAGGAGCCCTCTATGGGGCCACGAAACGTGTGCGGGGTGTGCCTGGGGTCTTCGGTGGATTTACCGATGGGGCCGCGTCACGCGTGAGGGGTGTGCCGAATCGGGGGCAGGTGCGCCATGCGAGCGCTGGCAATTGGGCGCCTTAGTTGGAGCTCCCTACGGGGCCACATCACGTGGGAGGGGTGTGCCGAATCCGGCGCAGGCACGCCATGCGGGCGCTGGCATTAGGGCCTTTGGTGGAGCTCCCCATGGGGTTACGAAACGTGTGAGAGATGTGCCGACATGAACATGCAGAGGGCAGAGTCAGGGATGTGAGGAAGGATGAGGGGGCAGGAAGGTGACGCGGGGCGCTGCCTCTTCAAAACGACAAGATGTTTGTGGAACAAAGACATGCGTGCCCACATATTTGCTGTTGAGGTCCTTGGGGCATCTTTGAGTTCCTCCGCAGTCCTCCCCGGATATCCCTACTACCTCCTTGGTATTTTCTTGGTTCTTCCTGTTTTCCCTGGTTCTCCCCGCTTTCGCCGCGGTGCGGTTTTGCTACCCCGCTGAATATGTGGGCATATGTGTTGTTTGAGTTGTTGTCATGCTGCTTGTCATCTCGTCGGTTGATACGTCTTGTCATGATGTCGGTTGATACATCGGCTGGTACGTCTTCACACATCTCCATGTGTTGTCATCTTTCTTAATGGAAACAAAGAAGACGTCGTGCTTCTTGCTTTCGAAGAGGTGTTCGCAACATGCGTAGTTCCCGATCGATTCGTTCAACATCTCAACGGAACCCAACGACACGCAACATAATCACAATATGTTGTAGTTGTCGTCTCGAACTGTTGACGCGACCGATCGGGACGCGGGCGGGTGCGTGTAAGGACTCGGTTGACGTGAGAGGGCTTGTGCCAGAGCGTGGGCAGATATTGGGGGCTACGAGGGTACGCCGACGAGTCCAGCAGGGCCTTTCGGGATGGAGGGGAGCAGGAGATACGGAGGAGAAGGAGAGGAGGAGGAGGAGGAGGACAAGGAGGAGGAGATGTGCTTTTGATGGCATCTTAGCGGGGCCTGACGCGGGGCTCTAGAACGGCCGCTTGACGCGCTCGGCGAACATTTAGGCCAAATTCTCTGTAGGATAGACATCATGTGGGCCGCAGTCGATGTGCTGCTGGATATGTTGCGCAATCGATGGGTTGCAAACGCCAGCCAGCACACGGGGCGGCCACGAGGCTGCCACGGGCGGCGACGGGCCGAAAACCCGATGCCTGGCGAGCGACCCAAGCCCTAGCAGCTCCATGTGACGTGGGTGGTGAGCCTCTCTGTGCACGGCCCGTTTGAGGGCTGCGCCGACATGGGTGAGGGAACGCATGCACATGTTCCAACTGGGGCCGTACGTGATGTTCCTTGAGGGGCGCGGCATGCGTGTGTTGAGGATATGCCCGAATGCGTGGGGAAACGCACGCAAGGCTTCCCATTGGGGCCGCAGTTCGGGGTCGCGTGAGGGGTGTGCCTGAAGGGGCGGAAGTACACACGCAATAGGAGGAACTCCCTACATCGCGCAAGAAGTGCCGAGCTCTTTTTCCGAGGCAATCCTGGGCTGGAGAGCCATTTCGAAATCGAACCAGAAGGGTGCCGAATCCCAGTTTTCAGGACGTCATGGAATGGAGCGCCATTTCGAAGTCGAACCCGAAAGGCTCCAAATTTTGTTTCGGAGGAATTCCTGGACGGGAGCGCCATTTCGAAATCGAACCAGCAAGGTTTCGAGCTCTAGTTTGGAGGGAGTCTTGGGCGGGAGCGCCATGTCGAAATCGAACCGAACCGTTCGAAATCGTTCGAAAGTGTGTTGTTGAGGGAGTCTCAAGCGAAACCGTCGCTTCGAAATGGCCAGAGACTTGGAGAGACTTGGACCGTCGTTCAAATGTTAGATGTTTGACCAGAGATTTCGAAAGTATGGTTTCCGAAAGGACGGTTTTTGAAAGTATGTGTTTCGATTGAGACGTCCTCCAGAAAAGGATCTCGACTGGATTTCGAGACCATCGGGCTCGAATTCAAAAGGGCGGTTCCGCCCGAGACTTGAGCAACACAATGCTTGAACAGAACATTGTACTGGGGCCGCGCGGCCTAACGGGCACCTCTAACGTCTCCTCTCTTATCGCGGGCGCAACGCCACTGACAACGTTGTACCAGGGCCCCGTCGCCTAACGGGAGACGCTGCATTTTGGCCGAACTTTCGCAGCGGCGAGGTATGAAGGCGCAGTCCTCATCAGAGGTGTGCCGACATGGATGGCACCGCCATGCGGACTTTGCAATTGGGGCCACAGGCTTGGCATCGCTCGGACGTGTGCATTTTACAAGGACCGTCGACGAGCATGTTGGGCCATCTTGCGAAAATTGCACGCACGAAACCGAGAAAAGCACGCGGAATGGACGTCCGAGCGATGGCAAGTAGGGGGGCTCCCCGTTGGCTCACGATTCCCGTGAGGGGTATGCCGAAATGAGCGGCGCCGCCTCGCGGACGCTATGTGGGCCTTGGGGCCACGGTCCTCGTGAAGGGCGCGCCGACATGGGCGGCGCCGCCATGCGGACCCTGCCACTGTGGCCGCAGGTGGAGCTCCCGCTGGGGCCACGAAACTCTAGGCCTTCTAGATGGGGTCCGAGTAGATGGTGTCGGAGCATCGCGCCGCATCGCCGGCACATCGGCGATGCGGCTCGATGTGGAGCCCGTTTTTCTCCACGCCGACGTGGCCAACCCATCGCCGACGTGGTCGATACATCGCCGATGCATCGCCGACGCATCGGCGATACATCGACGATTCAGTACAACCCCATGATCCCATCTACTCGGACCCCATTTGGGAGGCCTCTAGAAACGTGACAAAGCGTGCGCCGAAATGGGCGACAAAAGAAAGCGGGCACGCCCACTGGGACGGTGCGTGGCACAGAGCTCACATACGAGAATACGGTCTTCGTGATGGGTGCGTTGAGATGGGCGGCGCCGCTGTGCGGGCGCCCCCAACATGGGCCGAAGGTGGAGCTCCCTGTTGGGCCAGGATCCTCATGACGGTGTGCCGAAAGGGGCTGCGCCGCCGTGCGGACCTTGCCACTCGGGCCGCCGGCCCCCGTGCTGGGCGTAACGAGAGGGCCGGCACGCAGCGCCACCATGCGGGCCTTGCCAGTGTCGCCGTAGGCAGAGGTCCCTAAGACCTTGAGCAGCACGGAGCGTGTGAGGGGTGCTTTCTGCTCTTCCTCTCCTCCCCTCCCCTGCTGCTGTCCTCTTCCTCCTTTAGCCGTGGGGCGACCTTCTCGAGCTGGTAAAAAGAAAGTGTGAGAGGTGCGCTGAAATGCGGGCGGTGGTGCCATACGGCGGCGCCCGCTGAGAGTGGAGCTCCTGTGGGGCACGAGGCGCGTGAGAGGTGTGCCGACATGGGCGCGGCGCCGCCATACGCCGACGCCCACTGAGACCGTAGCTGGAGCTCCCTGCTTGGCCACGATGCGTGTGAGGGGCGTGCCGAGGTGGGAGCTCGTGCGCCGAATTGTGGCGCCAACTGAAACCGCAGGTGGTCGGCCACGCGCAGATGGGGAGTAGGGGGAGGGGGGGAGGCTTCTTAGAAGCACTCCTGCTTCCTTGAGGGCGCGGGCCTTCTCTGTAGATGCAAGGCCGGCGCCTTCTGAGCCTTACCTCCGCCCCTTATCCCCTTTCTGCGCGCCGCCAAGGCGGGGCTCCCCATCATGGGGCCGCAAGAGTATAAGTGTGTGTGCCGAATTCGGGGGGGCGTGCACCGCACGTCGGCGCCCACATCCCCTACCTGGAGCTCCCTGGGGGCCGCGAAACGTGCAGCTGTGAGACGGATGGAGGGCGCGTGCGCCATACGTCGGCACCCACTGAGAGCGTACGTGGAGCTCCGTATTGGGCCACGAAGTGGGTGCTGAAATGTGCACGCCAGGACCAGAGGAGGGAGGAGAAGGAGGAGGAGGAGGAGGAGGAGGCGAGGAAGAAGAAAAAGAGGAAGGAGGAGCGAAACGCGCCCGCTGCTGGTTCGAAACGAGGACGCCTCCTCCGACTCCCCCCACCTCCCGCAGACCATCTGCGCCGACGAGGACAGGCGGGCCACCGCCCTGAGCGAGGCGGAGGTCCTGCGAGGTACCGTGGACCAGCCAGGACCGACAGCGGACGACGACCACAACGAACGAAGACGGACGATGACGACTTCGACGACGATTTCGACGACGACGACGACGACGACGACGAGGACGACGACGACGGCGGCGGCGGTGGCGGCGGCGGCGACGACGACGACGAAGACCCCGACCACGACCACGATCACGACTACGGCCACGACTACGACCACGACCGCGACCACGACCACGACCATGATCGACGACGACGTCAACGACGACGACGACGACGACGACGACAGACAACGACGGACGACGACGACAACAACGACGACGACGTCAACCACGACGACCGACGGCGACCACGGCTGACGGCGACGAAAAACTACCGAAGTCGATTGACGACCGGCGCTCGATGACGCAAGACGACCACGACCTCGACCACGACGAACGACGACGACGACGAACGGCGGCGACCATGACCGACAACGACGAAAAACTACCGAAGTCGATTGACGGCCGACGATCGACGACGACGATGATTTCAACGACGACGCCAACGACAACCACCACTACCGCTACCCATACGCCGCCGACGACGACGACGACAAACCACGACGGTCCAGATCTCCAACGTCTTGAGGAAAAAGCATGGCGGGGTTGTCGCCATTTACGGCCTCTGGGGACGAGTTTCTTCGCTGCTGATAGGAACGAGGAGGCTTTTAAGAATTATGATCATTGGCAAGTGGTCTAGGCAGAGTTGCAAGTGCCGCTAAGTGGTTGCAAGAGGCTACAGGTAGCAAATCTGTTGCTTGACAACAAGGCTTGCTCTATTGGGCAGATTGCATTACCCACAGCGCCAAACGCAAGCTGAATGTGATTCATCTTTGTAAACAAACATGATCATTTTTTGTTGGCGCAGAAAGAGCTGCGCGACTCACGCGGCCGTATACCACTTGAACATTGGGGGGGACAATCGCGATCGATCCAGTTACACTGCGTCTGCACTCCTTCGGGCGAACCAAGTGCTACGCGTGCCCCAAGTAACGCGAATGCGCTCAGCAAATTTTACCGTGTCCCTGTATACAGGGGGCGCGCGTGTATTCGCGCATCCAGTCAGTCTCGTAAACGGAGCGCGCACGCAATGAATCCGACGGCATGTATGCCGAAGAAAAACCCCACCATCGCAGTGATGATGTCTGTCGTGTGCAACAGCTGCACGTCATCGTCGGTCCCAATCATAGTCAACACCCCCAACTGATCATCAGAATGAGAGAGAGCCCATACAGAAGATACCAAAGACACCATAACATGACCGACGGAAGCCTGAAACCACACTTTTCCAGCAGCCTTGCTGCCGTTTTGCACCTCGAGCAATGTGACATCCCGAGAGCAGCAGACCGCCAAAGATGACATCCGAGCTGCCAATGCCGTGGTCGTGGCCCCTTTGGTCGAATCGGGCGCCGATATTCTCCGCTTGAAATGTGTGCATTCTCTTGAGCGCCGCCCGCGTAGGCTCCAACAAGTTCTGCACAAAATCGTAAGCATCGGTAGTACGCTGTTTGGCTGAGTGGAGGCACGTGACCTCAGAGAACATTATTCCTGGAAGTTTCCAGCTGCAGGGTGTCTTACCAATGTGTGTTGTGATTTATTGCGTGTTCTCCCGTGCACGGAGCACGAGAGAAGTGTGCCCCATCTGTGTAAATGCCTGGAGAAAATGATCAGCCAATGGATCGGGCCTGTGCTGGTCCTGAGAACTGCGCAGTGGAAAGCTTCTGGAGCGGTAGTGGCATTTGTTTCGCATATGGTCCCGCGGATCCATACAACGTTCTCTATTGGGTCCAACGTCACTTGGATCACGGTCTGCAGGCACTTGGCCTCTGTGCAGCCTAGTTTATATACGGTTCCGTGGATATTGCCTGACGTGGGTTTGGCAGTTTTTGCCGTCCTACGGAGCACAGAGATTAGAATGTCTGTTCTTGGGCAGTCAGTGTTGACGGGTCCCAGGACGGTTAGGGCAGGGGGCTTATTCTGCAGGCGGCTCTGTTGCAGGAAGCAGTTTCCTTGCTCCAGCGTACGCGGTAATATGCTACTGGTGTGTAGTGTGCCGTTTCCAGCCCGTGAGCGCCAGGGCGGTAGGGGGCATCCCAGTGTTGTGCATCCAGGCTGATGGGTG